GAGAGAGAGAGAGAGAGAGAGAGAGAGAGAGAGAAGCGGAGGTGGTGGTGGTAGCGGGGAGGAAGCAGCCGCAGCGGGGGAGGGAGGGAGATCTAGGCGGCGGAGGAGGGGGAGGGAGGGAGATCTAGGCGGCGGAGGAGGCGCGCGCGGGCAGGCCGGCGTCCATGGGGGCTCGCTGCTCCAAGCTCTCCGCCTGCTGGTGGCCGCCGCACTTCAAATCGCCCCGCCTCGGTAAGCAAACCCCCCACCAACCGCTCCCCCGGCCCGCATTGCCCGCCTCTGCCTGCCTCCCCGCTCGCCCTCGGATTCAGGGCGCCGTTCTCCTCCCCTCGTGCTCGCCGACGCGTTTCGTGTTTTCCGGCGGAGGGGAGGGCGGCCGCGGCCCCGCATTTGGGGGTCCTGGTCTCCTCGCTTTTTTTCCCGGCCAATTTCTCGCTCGCTGGCCTTGTCTGCTCCTGTTCGGTGGGTGGGGGGCTCGATCCGCTCGGCGGCTTCGGGGCTGATCCCGACGCGCGCACGCACGCGCTCACCCTGTTTGTCTCCGTGCCCCTGTAGAGAACGGCGCCGCCGGGGAGGACGGCAGCGGCGTGCCGGTGTTCGCGGAGTACAGCCTCGACGAGCTCCGCGCCGCCACCGACGGCTTCGCCACGGACCGCATCGTCTCCGAGCACGGCGAGAAGGCGCCCAACGTGGTCTACCGCGGCACGCTCTTCAGCTCCGGCGCCACCGTCGCCATCAAGCGCTTCGGCCGCTCCGCCTGGCCCGACGCGCGCCAGTTCGTGGTTCGTGCTCTTCCTTGCTGCTTGCTTTGCTCCACAGGGTGGATCATCGTCGTCTAGTATGCAGTGCTCGACTGGCCTCTGCTGCAGAGTCTGAACTGAATTTGGCTTTTCTGTTTTCGTGTGCGCAGGAGGAGGCTAGGGCCGTTGGGCTGCTGCGGAGCGGCCGCCTGTCCAACCTCATCGGGTGCTGCTGCGAGGGCGGCGAGCGGCTGCTCGTCGCCGAGTTCATGCCGCACGATACCCTCGCAAAGCATCTCTTCCACTGTATGTCTGTTACTCACTTTTTTCCTTGTTCCAAGTGTGTTGGATGCAATCACTAATGTGGTCCGTGCTAGTGTTGTTTCTGGGTTTTGATATACTAGTGTAGGTAATTTATGTTTTTCACACTTCTTTCCTTGTTCCAAGTGTGTTGTATGCAATCACATATGCGGTCTATGCTTGTTCTAGTGTGTTGTATGCAGTCACAAATGTGGTTTATGCTTACTGTTGTTTCTAGATTTGGTATATGGTAATGTAGGTAGCTTAAGTAAACACTGTTGCTAATTGTGTGGGTTAGTCCTATTCTTGTTATGTTAGACTATAACCGGAAATCAGCACAGGTGATTAGTTACGCCTTTATATGCAAGAGTACTTTATAGAATGGGCAATTAATGATTCATGAATGTGATTATTGCACGATGGCATGGCTTTACTTACTACATTTTGTTTTGGTTCACATGTTTATCCTTGGCAAAGTACCTATGATAGGACCATTTAGTTTTGGTTCACAGGTGAAATGTGTTCGGGGCATTTAATTTTGGTTCACATGTGAAATGTGTTCAGGGCATTTAGCATTAATTGTTTTCCTTAAGAGCTTCTATTTTGAATACGGTATTCCATTTTGCGCTCATGGTTGTTATCCTTCTCAGGGGAGACCAAACCGTTGAGCTGGGCAATGAGGGTGCGAGCTGCACTCTATGTGGCCCAAGCACTGGAATACTGCACCCTCAAAGGGAGGGCTCTCTACCATGACCTGCATGCATACAGGGTCCTTTTTGATGTGGTGAGTCAGAACTTGTTCTCCTTGTGTGCTCTGCTTCCTAGCTGGGATTGCCAGAGTCAAGATATCTAATATATTTTTTTGTTTTTGCTCTGAATTACAGGATGGCAACCCTAGATTGTCATGTTTTGGTTTGATGAAGAACAGCAGAGATGGGAAAAGCTACAGTACCAATTTGGCTTTCACACCTCCTGAGTACCTTAAGACAGGTAAAGTGTGTCATACATATGCAAGTGATCCAGTGATCACGAACGTATTTCATGAATTTGCCATGTTTGCTTCTGATTAGAGGCTCAAATTCATCCCTCATGTTGTGCAGGTAGAGTAATCCCCGAGAGTGTGGTCTACAGCTTTGGTACCATCTTGCTTGACCTCCTAAGTGGAAAGCACATTCCACCAAGCCATGTAAGTGGAAATCATGTTGAAATTTGTGCATTGGCATTGTTGACGATCAACTTTATCCAAGTAAATAATTGATTTGTCTCTTTTTTGTAGGCGCTTGACCTTATCAGAGGAAGGAACATCACCGTGCTCATGGATTCTTGCTTGGATGGTCACGTCTCCAGTTCTGATGGAACCGAAATGGTGCGGTTAGCATCCCGCTGCTTGCAATATGAAGCTCGCGACCGGCCAAACCTGAAAGCAGTAGTGTCTGCTCTTGCAAGCCTTCAAAAAGACGCTTCTGTAATGTTCCATCCTACTGATAATTTTCAATAGATTTCTTGGTGTTCTATAATATTGAAAAGTTCCAGCAATAACACAATCCTCACCAGCTAGTTGTTTTGCTGCGATTTCCAACTAGTACAATGTTATTTTGCAAGGAAATTACTTATTCTCTTCAATGCAACAGAACTATCTTTGCTTTTCTTTTTAATGCTATCTGAGAACAATCACACTGCTCCATCTTCTGTAGTGTATAAATGGACTTATCCTGTCAAACCATATATGCAGTTTTGCTTTCATAATTTTTTTTTGTCAATAAAGAAAAGCTAAATAAATTACTCAATTTCACACTTAAATTGAGCGTTATACACAAATATCAGTGATCTTAGTTGCACATACTCATCACAATTTGCACCTGTTTGCAGAGAATCTGTTAGCAATAGTCAAAACTGCATAAGACAGATGTGTGATTATGAACATTATTAGCACGCAAAAAAAGTTGGGACTTTGTATAATTGGCACTTTATTAATTCTTTAGCACTCAACAAAGTACATCAGGGCTGGTATGCTACAATAAATGGTTGTCAAGCATCATATGGGCCACTTAGAATGTCATTGACCCAGCAGATCATATCTCTTTCCAGCCTGACATGGGCCAATGCCATACGTATCCACTGTTCAATAATTGATTTATAGCTTCTCGTATATCTGATCTGGAAGATACTTTGCTTAGCCCGAACAGCACATGGACGGACGGGATAATGAGCCTGTTGCTCGGGGTCCAGCCACCCTCTCCTGAACAGCAATGTTTTGGGTTACATACACTTTGTAGTAGATGGACTTATTCTGTCAAAGCATATATGCAGCTTTGTTTCGCTTATAACAAATTATGTAGTTTGCCTGCTCTGAAGTATATGGGCGGATTCACTCTCTCATATCACTTATGTAACTTTATTGCGTTTAGACAAAAGTTATGCACCTTTGCCTGCTTAAATAGTTCTAACTAAATCTTCATTGCAGGCTCCTTCACATACTTTACTGGGCATCTCACAGGATGCTGTCAAGGAGAACGCAGAACAAGTTTCATTTTCTGCTACTGAGAAAGCTTATGCGACAGCAGACCTTGAGCAGGTGCATGAGTTGCTGGAAAATGAGGGATATGATGAGGATGAGACAGCAAGTTTTAAGGTAAGAGTACTTGCCAATACATATGACTTTGCCCAGAATGCAAAATCTAAAAATGCACCAAACAAGATAATTGGGACCATTTAGTTTTGTCACCTTGCTCTTTTTATGTATTGCTTTAACTGATAACAATGAGTTTTTGTGTTGCACACACTTTTGAACGTTTGGAACTTGCAGGTGTCTTTAAGCTCGTGGCCTGGCCAACCATCTGAGAGTATTCAGGTCAAGAAGAATGGAGACGATGCTTTTCAATCCAAAGATTTTACGACTGTGCTGGAGTGTTACTCAAGGGTATGTTTTGATTATCATGACTGGGGGTATTGTTAAAAGTGAGATGTCATGTGCTGCATCTGCACTGTTCAGTTCAAGCCTAATTCCTAATAGAAGCAGTTCTTTTGTTGCATAACATGGAAATATGAATTGATCCAAAGCCGATTTAACAGTGGCTTTGAGACAGTGTGAAACTTGAGATTTACACTTTTGAGCTGTGCACATTTTGCAGTTTATCGATACTGGTGCAATGGATTCTCCGACCATGCTTGTGCGGCGAGGGTTCGCGAACGTGGTGCTTGGCAGGATGGAGGATGCCTTGGAGGACGCAAGGAGAGCAGAGGGGATATCACCCGAGTGGCCGACGGCGCACTACCTGCAAGGGATGGCGCTCATCGGGCTCGGCATGGAGCTCGACGGGCACGAGAAGCTAAGGATCGCCGCCTCCTTGGAAGCCCAGAGAACCGGTAGGAACTAGGACTGTATAGAGCCGCCCGCGGTGACGCCTCCTCTCTCTTCTGTACCTAGGTCGCCTGCGCTTTTGGGTGTCGTCGGTCCAACCAGATATGCTTTGCAACCAGTGGCACTAGGGTTGTTTTTTGGCCTCCCCTAACTTAAATTGGTGTCTTCCTTCAGTGGTTTTACAAAACTCCTAGGCTGGCAGTTATTACTCCTCCGATATATCCATATAAGTAAAAAAATGGGCAATAGCGTTCCGTGGATTTGAGATTGTAAATTGACATTATTGTAGTCTTATGTCTCTCTCTAAATTCATGTATATACAGAACTCCAAAGAGAATTTCGAAGCTTTGAACTGCTGTGGTTCGTCAGGCATCTCCTCTCTGTTTGCACTGCAAGTGTCTGTGTTTGCGTGTAGCTGCTGCACAAAATGTGTAGCCCATATTTTTGGTGGTACCATTGAAGATGGCAACCTGTGCTATACAAGTAACTGGTCTTCTCATTGTTGAGAATCTGCTAGTAGGCTCCAGGATTTTGAAGTGATTTTGAACAGATTTAAGCAGTTGTTTTGTGTTTATTGGTGATGGGATTTGCCTCTTCGGAAGCAGATCATGCGACTCATTCAGCGTTTTTGAACTTTCCTTCAAAAAAGATTTAACTGAAAACATGACCATTTGTGGTCTGTACACAAATTACTATAATCATTCGCCTCTGTGGTCTGCACACAAAGCTATTGCGGAAGACACGTACACACACACGCTCTCTCTCTCAAAATATTTCAACAGAGAACATGACCATTTGTAGTCTGCACACAAAGTGCTATCATCATGTGTCTTTATTGTTATAAGGACATGATATATTGGAGGATTTTTTTTTTAATACTGACAAGCTCAAACATTTTTTAGCCTTTTCACTGTCATCGTTGGCTTCCAGCTTCGCTTGTTGCAAAAGTTAGTATATCGTGATGACGTTTGCTCTAAGAAATACTATCGGTGACCACAATTCACAAAGTTTGTTTCGTGGTCAAGGAACAACCTTTTTTCTGTTCAATTTTAGCTACTCCCTCTAATCCATATTACCTGTCACTCAAACACGACATAATTCAGTGCTATATACGACTCCCTCCGTTCCTAAATATAATTAAGTCTTTTTAGAGATTTTACATACAGATTCACTCACTTAGGTCCGTATGTTGTCCGCTTTGAAATATCTAAACGGCTTACATTTATGAACGGGGGGGAGTATGTTTCAGTGACAACTTTGATAGTAGGGAGTATTCAATTTTAGCTACTCATGTACCCAACATACACCACATGATAGCACTGGTCTTTCTGATTGAGTTAGCAAAAAAGCAGTCAACATTAGAGAAGGATCCATGCCAGCAGGCATTCTGCGCTTCTGACACAGCCACACAGGCACAATCATAACCATGAAAAGAGAAGCTTCGGCAACAAAATCTATCGAGCTGTACCAAATTATTACAGGCATGCGCCCCTGCCCATGATTCAGTGGCATGGTACACCACTGGAAAGCGCGACACGCTGAGGGTTCCCTTTTGAACAGTATATATGAATTAGTCGGTTACTCATGCTTTACTTAGCGAAACGGCGAACATTCCAAAACAAAAACAGAGGAGAAACATGGGGACGGTGTCCTGCTACAGAAAATGCGACTACTGCTTCTCAGTGCGCTCACATCGGGGTCTGCTGAGTCCCGAGCATTCCGCCGACAATGTTAGTCACCTGAAAAGAAGAAGCCACATGTATCAAAGCTATGTAGATATTTAAACCGCTGGGCATTATTATTTCTAGGCAAACAAAGAAAAGGAAGATTAATGAAACTGCAAATTCATAGTACATCCCTAAGGTAGCTAGCAGTTCCAAATCAAAAACCACATGAAGGCACAGGAAACAGTGTTTTCTTGCCCAAAGCAAAAAGGCAGTGATATTATCATTCTTTCCTATAAAAACCACATGTATCACAAGGGAACTTGCCTGCCAGTACTTTGAAACACACCGATCAATGCAACTGTTCTCTCCCATATTGAGTTCACCTTCTTTATGCCTGTTGAAACAGAACAAATCACAGGTAAAGGCCACGGTTAAATTCAACAGAGGATAAATCTTTCTTGTGGCTGTTAACCAATGAGTTACAACCAAAAGAGATGACTGATGGAAAGATAGACGCCACTTGACTATTTTGACCAGCTTGGTTGAACCATAATGAATTTTTGCATTATCTTAGCACATGAAAGAAATATATAACTGCAATATTTTGGTTACTGAGTTTTCAACTATAAACAGCAAATCAACAAAGCAATCCAGAACCAAGCAATGATGTGTTGAAAAAAATGGCAAGAGATTTCGAGTTAGAACGACCAGTACCTTTTCTCAATGCACTTCGCAAAACAAACATGTGTAAGCCTGCATACAAAAAATTGGCTCACGGCATCAACATGTGTACAATAGAAAAGGATTCAGGAGTAATGTGGCACAATCTAACTATCTCCGAGGAAAAAGAGTACAGAGTGGATGATACACCATGGCGACGCTGCTAAGGGCCAGTTCTTTTGTGGCTTATTTGGAGCTGTGCCACAGCTCCAAATAAGCCATAAAAGAAGTGGCCCTAAATATTTATCATCCCTATAACAATGTCAGACTGACATTTCAGAAGTGACTGCCTATGCAAGCATATTTGGAACACATAAACGAAACACAAAATTCTCTCTTTGTCATCATTAATCTAGTTTAGACGAGGAAGCAACAAATGAGAATAAGTGAGTATCTACTACTAGCAAAGTACAGGGCATCTTGATGCTTACAAGTTACAAGTAATAGCAAGCCAACGTCACTAAATTACGCGATACTACCTCTTCTCCTAATCAATGTGACTAGTAGGTGCTATATAGGAGTACATTAACGAGCATCACACACATTAGTTGCAGGTTCATGGAAGATCATTCTATTAGGCAGTTCGACAACATATTTATCCTTGGCTCATCAAACAGCTCTATTCATAGTTTTCAGCACATAAACACCAGGATTATAACTATCAAACTACATTATGCTATTATTAGGAGTAGAGTAGCAGTAGTGCACACACATTATTTGCGGGTTCAGGGAAGATCATTCTATTAAGCAGTTCAAAAATATCATTGTCCTCGGCTCATCAAGAAGTTCCTACTCATAGTTGCCGATGCAGGGCATGGCAATCACTTGGCATAGCAGGGAAAATGTGTTTGCAAGGAAATCACTGAAGCAGTAAGGACATTAAACACCAGGCTTATAAGTTATAACTGTAAAACTACATTAGGCTAGTCTGAGACGCCACAGCAAGGGCAGACAATGGCATCCCTCAATGTATAACAACAGCTACGGAGTCGGTTCTACTCATTGCATCAACCAGTGATCTGATCTCGCAAGCCCCACCCAGGTGGTAGTAGAGCAAGCAGCTAGCTAACAGGCGAATCACTCACCGGTTGAAAAGCTCGACCCGGTACTCCATCTCCTTCTCCGCCATCCCGAACATCTGCACCGCGCAGCCACCGTCAGTTAACCTCATCACAAACTCGAAATCGAAGAGGAGGGCACAAAAAAAACATGGAAAATCCGGAAGCAAAGACGGGCGCGCGTACCATCTCCTTCTCCAGCTCGCTCCGCACGTCCTTGGCGGCAGCCATTGTCGCGACGCCTTCGCCTGCACAGACAGAATCGCTGAGCGCACCGATCTAAGCGAGGGAATCGTCCGAGGAAGGCACGGGGGGAAGAGACGGGGAGCAAAGACGGCGGTGCTTACGGGGAAGGATGACCGGAGTAGGCCGGAGATCTCGCGAGCTCGGCGGCGGCGGCGGTGGTCGAGATGCCGCGGAGGCGAAGAGGAACGCTAGAGCAGCCGCGCCTCAATCTCTAGGGTTTTGCTCTTCTTCTTTCTTGGAGGAGGAGGAGGAGGAGGACCTGCGCGTCCTCATATGGGCTTCGTGCTGACACCGTGGGCCTCCGGGCCCGCGTACGTTCGCCGGCCAAGGCCCACGTTTCTGGGCCGGTAGGTGATAAGCGGCTATATTTTGTTTTTGAAAAAAAAAACTCAATCGCTTCGTTCCCGAGCGGCTCGGAGCTATGAGCTTGGTCTATCCACTCCTGCGGCTCCCGTGCCGCTGCGCCCTCGCGTCGGCGCCGCGGGCCGCCGCGGCGTCGGTGGTGTCGGCCTCGGCCTCGGCCTCGGCGGTGGACGGCGGGGGCGGGGACGGGGAGCTGACGGCGCGGGAGAGGAGGGAGAGGCGGAGGGAGGCGAGGGAGCTCAAGGCGCGGGACTGGAAGGAGGAGGTGGAGGAGCGGCTCATCCACGAGCCGGCGCGGCGGCGGAAGAAGCCGCCGAAGCGGACGTGGCGGGAGGAGCTCAACCTCGACTTCCTCGCCGAGCACGGCCCCCAGTGGTGGCTCGTGCGCGTCTCCATGGCGCCCGGCACCGACTACGTCGACCTCATCACCAAGGCCGTCGCCCGCCGCTTCTCCGAGGTCTCCTTCAAGGTAGTATCGCTCCTAGTCTCTCCTCTAGCCTCCGAATGGAGCAATGGGTCGTTCGTTTAGATCGCTGGCCTCTCTCATGAGCATTTTGCCGAACACCTGAAGCGTAATGTGCCATGGGGTATCTTGATTGTGCTATATATGACCAATGCCGCCGTGCAGAACTCTCATCGCCACATAAATTTCACACCTACGGAACAATTGTGCATAACAGAACCTGTGAGGATGCATTTGGCTATTGGTTGTGAATTCTCGCAGCGACACTTGCCGTTTCATTTTCAGTAACTAATTTTTTTGTAGTCCTTGTTACTTGAATCATGCAATCATGTTAAACTTTGGGCTAGTGAGATGTGAGGTGAATCCAACTACGATAGCCTGCTTATTTGCAAGCCATGCTGCCTTGAGCTGTCCTTCTCACAAATATTCTCTGCAGATTTACAATCCTGCAATCCAAGTGAAGAAGAGGCTGAAAAGTGGTTTGATCAGTACCAAGTCAAAACCTCTGCATCCTGGGCTGGTCTTTCTGTACTGCACCTTAAACAAGGAGCTTCATGATTTCATCAGAGACACCGAAGGTTGTTATGGTTTCATTGGAGCTACAAGAGGTTCCATGTGGGTACTTCTCAACCCATTCACTAACCTCTGTCTGAAACTTTATTTGCTCTTCGCTTCGATTTTCTTGTTCGAATTGTCCATATTATTGCTTATACAGCTGATGTTAGATAGCTTGCCACCCTGGACTTTTGAAGTGTTTCTGATGAGTATTGTATATTGTACAATCATGTGCCGTCCGTAGTTGCAGAATAATCCTTTAACCCACAAAGTGACCAACACGCATTACTCAGTACCCAATTTCCCCAAAACAGCTAGTGTACCAATTTGATGATCTGGACTTCTTTTTGGAGCAAAATGGTGCTCTGTGCACTTGACATGAAGAACTTTTTGGAAGCGATAACTTGTTTGCTGTAATTGTAGCAGTGTATGAGTTATACTAGGTTTTTGATATGTAGTAACATAGCAGATCGGATCTCATATCTGTTGTATGATCAGTTGTGCCCTTCTTGTGCGTGCCATCGTAACAATACTTTCACCGTGCAGTAAAAGGCAGATTAAGAAGCCTAAACCTATTCCAGTTGAAGAGGTCGAATCAATTATTAAAAAGGAGAAGGAGGAACAAGAGAAAGCTGACAAAGAATTTGAAGACCTGGAAAACTGGGATAAGGGGTCTTTTGGTAAACCCGTTGAAGACTCTGAACTTATGTTAATTAATAAGATCAAGAAACAAGTCAAGAAATCAACTTCAAAAGGTGCCTCCAGCAACGACACTTTTACGCTTGGTGCCAGTGTTCATGTTCTCTCCGGGCCGTTTGCAGGCTTCACTGGCTCTCTTCTGGAAGTAAATCGCAAAAATAAGAAGGTTAGGCTGAATGGCTGATGACAGCTTCATAGTGAGCTAATTGCCTTGCTGTTCTCCGTTACCTTTTCTTCTCGTATTATCTGGTTATCTAAGAAGTGTTTTACCTCCCACAGGTTACTGTCCAGATGACACTTTTTGGCAAGGAGAGCTTTGTAGATCTAGATTTTGATCAAATTGAGGCACTGAATACTTAATGGTAATGAGAGTTGTGTCTAATACCTGAGCACTTCTGAATTCTGTTTTCGCTTACCTATGACTGAGCACTGGACAATAGCATTTAACCATCAGTTTCCAAGAATCAACATCTGCTACTCAACTTGCATCAGGTGGCCATAAAGTAAAAACAGTACCCAGGCAGTAATGTATTATAATCATTAGGGGGTTACTAGTACAAGTGGGGAGTCTCTTTCCCCTGGTTATGGCCTGAAAAGAATCATATAGGTAGAAGGCTTGCATATTTTTCATACACAAAATAAATTGTGTATCTGGAGTATGTGACCTCACATGTGGGCCTTTGGGTATAGGATAGGACGATCATTTCATTCGTTATCATTGCTGCTCTCCCAAGTGAAGTAAATCAAGTATATTTAAGGTTCTGCTGTAAGGAAATTTTATCATTGTTCCATGATATGTCAGTAGGGTGTCCATCAAATTGACTTTTCCCCCACAGTACTTTCCATACATTTCAGACCCTCTTAAGCTTCGTGGGCCTCCCATTCTGGTTTCTCATACTATATTGTGCGTTCTTATAAAAAGAAAAATGTTTCTCACATTTTTTTTCATGTCTGAACAGGTAGGCACAGACCACTGTATCAGTAGTTTTGTTTTTCGAAATAGAATCAGAAGTTTGTCAGTTGGGCCCTGGAGATATGAATAAAGCACTTGGGGTATATGGATCTGTTGAAGACCACTGGATTGGGTAACAAACACAAGAGAAGAGTTAGCCCGTGGGCCAGTAAACGTTAAGCCGTAAGTACTCTCCACCACCATGTGTTTGAACAACTAAACGAACTCTGTGAATGGATCCTGAACTAAATTACTAGGTAGGGAGGAGTAAACAGGGAATGGCTTTTTTGCAGCCTTATTCATGTTGAAACAACTAAATAATCTCTTCTTTCAGCTTGACAGGTGTTAAACGCTGGTTTGCGAACGAGGATCGGATCTGTTGAACCAGGGAAATCGCGGACCTGACCTAACCTCCACTTGGTTGCTAAGGCCCTGTACAATGCAAGGTGCTTGGAGTAGATGCTTAGAGAAATAAACCAGTTTTTCTCTAAGCACCGGTGCTCATTTGTAGAGAGTATACGCTTAATTAAGCGTCTATCACGTAGAAATAAGCACCGGTGCTTAAGGAAAACTCGGTTTATTTTACTAAGCATCTCCCTAAGCACCTCCCATTGTACAAGGCCTAAAGTTCCACCTCGACCCAGTTATATCATATAGAGAGCAATGCTTCAACACTTTGTATTCTTTTTTAGCACAATAGGCTATTCATTCATTTAATAATTGTGATCAGTACATGCATTTACCAACCAGTTCAAATGAGGCAAAATTTCGTGTTTTAACCCTTTTCTGAAACTAAATCGAGATTTGACCCTAGTTTGAAAAAAATTCAAGATCTGACCCTTTTGATACCGCCAGGGTCCATGGCGGTAGGGTTGTTTCCTACCGCCAAGGTCCTTGGCGAGGTCCCTGGTGGTAGGCACGAGCATCGCGGTAGCAAAAGGGTCAGATATCGAAAAAAAAATCAGACTAGGGTCAGATCTCGATGTAGTTTCAGAAAAGGGTCAAAACCCGAAATTTAGCCTTCAAATGGCGGAAAAGGAAGGCCGGTTGTCGTTGGAGGTCATCATGTCTAGCAATCTTGAAATGTGCTGCTCCATCTGCTTTGCTTTGCTTTGCTTTCTGACAGAGTGAGGCCACTTTGGAGAAACAGTTCCAATCGAGTTGTTTTCATCAGTGTTCCATCCTTGAGACCAAAAGGCTTACAGTACAAGCTTCTTGCTTTCCTCCCTTTTCCTACAGTCTGTGGCAATGTGCTGATGATGCTGGAACAAAGCCTGCAATGTCTCCCACCTGAACAGATCCATCACCTTCGCTCCTTTTTCATGCCATGCTTTGCAATGGCATGCGTCGATCAAGACGCCGTCCTTCTTTCTTGTTTCAATCAGTGTTTCCAAACTAGTAGTATATTTTTCAGACAAATTCATCAGATCAAAGGTGATGATGGTAGGGCCTTGCTGTTCATCCCGCCTAAGAGCATCTCCAACAGGCGCTGGTCGCGCCGCGCGCAAAAAACAGATATGCCGCGCGCGCATCGCCTGGTTTGATGCGGCGCGCAGCGCTGGCTCCAGCAGCCGTGCTAAAATGCAGCGCGCGCGACTCGCACAAACAACATATGCATTCAAAAACAAAAGCAAAAAAAATCAAAAACAAACAAAAATAAATAGTTCAATTTCGTTTATTACAACTCAAACAAACAGTTTATCGTTCAATACAACAAATAGTGCAATTAAACACAATAAATAGTTCAACAATACAATAACGAACGCACAAATCATGATGCTCTTTGTCGTCAATTCCATGCCCACCACGATCCTTGTGAAGATCATTATGCGCTGCAGGATGTCGAATGACATGATAGGAGGCAACAAAACGGGCCACCCTTTCAGCCCTCCGTCGCACTAGCACGGGATATCCCAAGAGCTCATACTGAGAGTAGTGTACATCTTGGCCACGCTCATTCTCGATGATCATGTTGTGCATGATCACACAAGCGTGCATTATGTACCAAAGCATCTTTTGATCCCAAAATCTAGTCGGTCCTTTCACAATAGCAAATTGGGCTTGCAAAATCCCCAAAACTCTCTCCACATCTTTTCTAGCCGCCGCCTGAGCATTGTGGAAATCAAGATTTTTCTTACCTTCTGGCTTTTCAACGGCTTGACAAAGGTTTGCCACTTTGGATAGATGTCATCCGCTAGATAATAGCCATAGTTGTATGTACGGCCATTTGCTATAAACTGCACCGGTGACAACTTCCCATTTGCAATCTTACTCATCAGTGGTGAGCGGTTGACAACATTGATGTCATTCAAAAATCCAGGTATTCCAAAGAATGCATGCCAAATCCAAGTCTCTTGATCGGCCACCGCTTCAAGGATTATAGTGGAACCCCTTTTTTTGCCCTAGAATTGTCCATGCCATGCCTTTGAACAATTCTTCCAAGTCTAATGCATGCAATCTATTGAGCCAAGCATGCCAGGAAAACCGCGAGCTTTGTTCATCGCTAAAAGTCTTGCGACGTCTTCAGCGTTGGGAGATCTCAAATACTCCTCGCGAAAGACTTGCACAATTCCGACTGCGAAGCGCTTGACACACATGATGGTTTGGCTCTCACCCATAGCCAAGTGATCATCAACTAGATCAGCCGTTATACCGTATGCCAACATACGCAAAGCGGCTGTCACCTTCTGAAAGGTGCTATGCCCGAGCTCTCCGGCGGTATTCCTCCTTTGCTGAAAAAAGCGGTCATGGCTCACTAGTTTCTCTGCAATGCGCCTGAACAACTCGGTGCTCATCCTAAACCGGCGACGAAAATACGACTCGGGGTATGTGGGATTCTCTGCAAAATAATGCCTGATCAATCTGTTGTGGGCATCGATCCTATCCCTCCAAATTTTTTGCCAACCCATAACCGAACCACCGTGCTTCGGTTTTTTATTAATATGCATAGCTAGGATCATTGCAAGATCCTCCTCCTCTTCCATATCAAATTCTTCTTCGGAAGAATCATACGACGAACTCATCTACAATGTTGAATACTATGCTATAAATAAAAAACTACAATCAATATGCACGAAATTCATGGCTTTTGGGCAATACATACCTTCTAGGCGTTTTGTCGAACACCTTGCGGGCGCCGAGCGGCAGCGAGCGCTGTTCGTCGGCGGACCAGCATGCGCGCGAGGCGGCGGGCCTAGAGGGGGGCCGGAGAAAGCGCGCGCGGGGCGGGGATAGGCCGGGGAAGCGCCGGAACGGTCGCCGGGTGGCGCGGTCAGCGGCGGCGGCGCGGCTGGATGGGGGGTGGGAGGTGCGAGCGAGCGCGCGGGAGCGGGCGCAGCAAATAAGCAGTGCGCGATTGCGTTTCAGCCCGCGCGCTGGACTACTTATGCCGCGCGCGCGGTTTTCACGGGCCCGCTGGAGCAACTATTCCGGTTGCGCGCGCATTAAAAGGGGGATTTTGCGTCGCGACGCTAATTTGGCGCGCCTGTTGGAGATGCTCTAAACAAGCAGCTCGGTGCATTGTGACTGCACAGTGCGACATAAATGCACGCAATGATGGGCCAACTGAGTGTCAGAAAGTATTAGTACACTATGGGCCAGCAAATTGTACTGTTAGTTGGAGCACTTCACTTCACAATACGTACGAATGGTTTTACAGCCTCTTGGGGGGCATCAACTTTCTTGAGAGAAGAGGCAACTGGCTTAGATTTAGCAAGGACCAAGTACAGGGGAGAGGAGAACTAATTATGGCAGGGAGTCGAGTGCAGCCCCGGTAGCTGCACCAACGAGCAGGGGAGGGTGGTGGCCCGTGGCTCAGGCTGATCGCATCCGTGATCCCGCCCGTCAGCCACGGTGGGCGTCACTGTCGGCTGCCGCCGCGGGGCACGAGGTACACCCGGGCGCGCACCACCGCGGCGTTGCACAGCTTGAACCCCGGCGCCACCGCGAACCCGACCACCATGCCGGCGCCGCGCGGCGCGGGCCCGGCCACGCTCTCCATGTACTCCGGGTGGAACTCGGCGCCGCGCCCGGCCTCGAAGTGGCTGGGCGGCGGCTCCAGCGCGAACGCCAGCAGGTGCAGCAGCCACACCGCCTTGGCCGCCCGCAGGAACTCCCCGTAGAACGGCGTGCGCGGGTGCGCGCCCGCGCCCACGGCCTTCTTGTGCTCGTCGGAACCAAGGACGGCCTCCTCCACGCGCGGCGGGAGCAGGGACGCGAACTTGCTGGCGGCGTACCGCCCGAAGGCGCACGTCGGGAGCACGCCCAGGAGCTCGCCGGGGTCCATGCCGCGCATGTCGCGGAACTGCGCGTACCGCTCCCGCCGGAACGCCGCCGGGTCGAGGAGGGAGGAGAGGGAGCCGTCCAGGTAGAAGGACTCGTGCTCGAAGCCGCCGAGCAGGACGGCCGTCGCGTGCGCCTCCAGCGCGTGCTTGGCGAGCTGCGGGGAGGAGACCGGGATCTTGGTGACGGACCGGGTGGCCGCCGCCGGGTCCAGCCCCGCCGCGCGGAGGAGGTGGAGCAGGTGCGCCGCGAACGCACGCGTCGCCGCGCGGGCCTGCTCCGCGCAGGCGACGAACAGCTCCGCCGTCGCCGCGCCGACCTCCGCGGCGGGGGCGGCCGCGAGGGTGTGGTGGTGCTTCTTGGAGGGGTGGAGGCGCGCGTTGCGGCGGTTTGTTGCGGTGGCGAGCTTCTCCTTGAGGCCGTCCACCTCGGCCTGCTTGCCCTGGAGCTGGCGGCGGAGGTCGTCGAGCGCGGCCTCGTAGGGCGCGACGGCCTCGCGGAGCGGCGGCGCGGAGGGGCTCGGGCGCGGGATGCGGCCGCCCGGGCTGGCGGCGGCGCGGCGGAAGCGGTCGCGGAGGCGCGCGAGGTGGCGGAGCTCGGCGACGACGCCGGCGTCGGCGGCGCGCATCCGGTCGGGGTCCCAGGGGCAGTGCGCGCCCTGGAGCGCCGCGTACGCGCGGCGCACGCCGGAGACGGCGTCGAACACCTCCGCCATGAGGGACTCCGCGTCGCCCGCCCGCTCGGCCCCCTCCGCCTCCTCCTCGGCGGCCGCGGCATTCTTGGTCCGCCTCTTATGCTCCTCCCCCTCCTCCCAGATCCTGAGCCTCCGGGCCTCGTCGTCGCCCTCCTCCGCGCCCGCGCGGACCGCGGGGCGCGGGCATTCCTCGTGGGTGGCGGCGTCCCCGAAGTCGGCGAAGGGGTCGTCGTCGTCGTCGTCGTCGAGGTCGGAGCCGTGGTGGGCGTAGTTGCCCGGGAAGCGGTTGGAGAGGCAGGAGGAGGCGACGCGGTGGATCAGATCGCCGATGGTGACCGCCTTGCTCGCCATCTCCCTCTCGCTGGGTTGCAGTTGGACTCTGTGACTGCGCTCGTGGTCGTGGGTGGCGGATTCAAGGGAGGGAAGGAAAAGAGAGAGATGCTCTGCGGTGTGGAGCGCGGCTAGATGCGGACAAGGGAGTGAGCTGAGCCGAGCTGGTCCCGTGCCGCTGATAACTTTTACGTACGTGTTTTAATCTCTGGTCAGCTGTGAGTGAACAGTGAGCACCGTCACTTCCATAGTATTATTATTAGCTGCTAATAAAGTACTCTCTCCGTAAACAAATATAAGAGCGTTTACATCACTACTTTAGTGATCTCCCTTGTACAAAGTGATACTCACATGGTACTCCCTTGTATATTTCGAAGGAAACATACTAGTACTCCCTTGTATTCGAACATACCAATCATGGGCTGTGACTTGTGAGCCCACTAAGCCATGTGATGGTTTAGCCAAAAACTTGTAAAAAGTGACCAGCCCATCCTTAGGGCCTCTTTGATTCGTACGATTTTCAAACCCTATTTAGTGTTGCAGGCGCCAGTTATAGGGCAATTTGTTAACGGGCGCCTGCAGTGCCCCCACGCTGGGCCGGCCCATCGAAATACTAGGAGTGACATAAAACTTGTTTTATTTCTTGTTCTCTACAGCCACGGGAGTCCCCTGTTTTAGGAAGCTTCCAAACCGGGTTTTTTCCTAATCCGTGCTCACTGCCTGGGAGGTTTTTATTTGGGTTGCCTTTATTTTTTGTTCTTTTTAAATGCGCATTTTTAAAAATCGTTTTTTTCTAAATTGAAGGTTTTCTATTTTTGTGTTTTTATATGAAAATTGTGGTCATTTTTCAAATTTTGAACTTTTTTTGAAAATCAACAAACTTATTTCTAATTTGATGAGGCTTTTAAAATTTTGATGAATTTTTTTCAAATTTGATGAACTTTTTCCAATTTTTATGAATTTTTTATCAAATTCAATGATTTTTTTTCAAGTTTGATGAAGTATTTTTCAAAATAGATGAACCTTTTTTCAATTTTGATGATTTTTTTAAGAAATTCGATGAACTTTTTTCAAGTTTGAAAGCCAAGATGCAAGGTTTGAGAAACCCGCTTGAAAATGTTCATAAAAAATCGTTCGACACCTCATGGTCCGAAGTGATGGGTTCCTTGCAAGCCAACCCATGTTCCTACGCTAGTGGGCGATGTGAGTGATACATATTGCTATAAGCGGGACATATCATATTATTTCTATGAGCTAATGAGTTGTTTCATCATGGCCCTCTCTTCATTGGCCTTCCCTTCTGGAAAAGAAGAGAAAACCTGTGAAGAGAGGGGCCCGGATGAATCCCAGCCTAGGCCTCCTCAGTGGCAGGCCATGTTCTCTCATTGTAGGATAACTCATCAAAGATGGGCCACTCTAAAAATAAAGCCTGTCACAGCCTAACGCGTTGCATTTTGATACGGATATATGCCTGGATTCTTTTATGTTATCCAGGGGGTGTGTGAATATCTCAAAAAAATTGATCAGGAAATTTTGGCGGGGAAGTAAAAATGGGCAGCATAAAGTCAGTTGGGTTTCTTCAAACTCAATGACACAACCCAAGTTTATGGGTGGAGTGGGCTTCAGAGATCATGAGCTTTTCAACCTAGCTATGCTCCTAGACAAGCATGTCACATTTTGCAGCAGCCTAATTCTCTTTGCGCAAGGATGTTAAAAGAAATTTACTTCGTGGACACCTCCATATTAGGTGCAGAATTGGGAACACACTCATCCCAAATATGGCGGGTAGTAGTGGAAGGTTCATATGTTTCCAACGTATTTATAATTTTTAATTGTTCAATACTATTATATTATCTGTGTTGGACGTTAATGGGCTTTATTTTATACTTTTATATTATTTTGGGACTAACCTAATAACCCAAGGCCCAGTGCAAATTGTTGTTTTTTTACCTATTTCAGTGTTTCGCAGAAAAGGAATATCAAACAGAATCCAAACGGAATGAAACCATCGGGAGAGTTATTTTTGGAACAAACGTGATCCAGAGGACTTGGAGTAGACGTCAAGCAACCAACGAGGTGGCCACGAGGCAGGGGGCGCGCCTACCCCCTAGGCGCGCCCTCCCCCCTCGTGGGCCCCTTGTGGCTCCACCTACCTACTTCTTCCTCCTATATTTAAATACATTATAACCAAACACTTTTCCAACCCTCTCAACTAATCAGCAATTTTGGCCGTCGGATCCCACCTCTAAGTCGTTTTTGGCCGTCTGATGCACCTCTTCGCTAACGTGTGGGCCGCTACTCTGGAAAAAAATTCAGAGGCCTCGTGTTAATTCAGCGATGGATGATTGTCATGGACATTTTTTTTCTCTATAAAAGATCAACAAAATTTGCGTTGGGCGAGGCCCACCCCCTCCATCTCCCGCAACGTACCCCATCCCCTTCCGCTAATACGCCGCCGCCGCTGCCCTCATCGGCGCCGAGAGAGAGCTCCCTTGATTGCATCTTGGAGATAGGAGATACCGCTTCACGCTCGACCCGAACTCGGCTTGAGGCGACGGAATCACGGAACCGGGGGTCGGCCGATCCGCCTGCAAGGTAGGGATCCCTTTCCGTCCCTCCCTCCCTTTCCTGGCGGCGGGGACGAGGACTACCCCAGTGCTCTCTGTGGTACTGTACCTTCAACCTTGCACGCCCCCACCATTCGCAGCAGCAGGCAACACCAGGAGATGGCGACGGCAGCGGCGCCAGCTGCACTCATGCCCCTCTTCACCCATCAGACTGGCTTTCGTCCTTCGTAGGTGAGCGATGTCACTTCATCTTTCGCTCTCACGGGTAACTCATGGTGCGGCTTCTATCTTTACAATTTGCTTTTTCCATCCGATGATTACATTGTTTCCTCCCAATCTAAATTTTGTACAGTAATTATCCATACTGGGAGGTGGTCAATTGATTTGGCCAGCTATTGGAGAATGATTATCGCATTTTTTCTTGAAATTCTTCAGCTGATAATCTCTAATGGCTTCTGGACAGCTAATGGCTTCTATTTTCTCCTTACCATGCAAGTTAGAGTAGGTATTTACTCTTCAGTTACACATAGCATCTAAATAGTAGTAATTGATATCCTATAAAAACCTTAATTTGGACCCATCAACTGATAATCATGCAATCAGTTAACCTCGCTGCTCATATGTCATCCCTCTGTTTATATATTTATAAAATGTTTGTAGCTAAAAAGTAGTAACTGACGCCCTATAAATATGATTAATTTCCACCGGCCATTAACAATTCTGCAACCACAGTTAACGTCGCTGCTCACATGCCATCCCTCTATTTATATACATGTTTGTAGCTAAAAAGTAGTAACTGACATCTAATAAATATGATTAATTTCCACTGGCCATTAACAATTCTTCTACCACAGTTAACCTCGCTGTTCACATGTCATCTCTCTGTCTATATACATGTTTGTAGCTAAAAAGGAGTAACTGACATCCTATAAATATGATTAATTCCCATCGGCCATTAACAATTCTGCAACCATTTAAACTGACTGCTACGTGTCATCCCTCTGTTTATATAGAACGTCTGCAGTAGATATTGGAACACTCAACAATTCCTACTCTTAGGTACCACGCCTACACTCTCCTTATGTATATCTGTCTACTTTGCACTCAAATGTAGATGAATCAATCAAGGGATGAGTTTCATCCAAGAATAGCTTAAAGCATAGAGCATAATTAGATGATACGTTGAACCACGATGAATCTACTCTCTCCTCCTCAAAGGTACCAGCTATTGAATACTCGCTTATGCTTCGTACCTTTCACCTTTTCCTTCACAGTTTCCTGCTGCGCTTGCAGGCTTAGGTTCACTGCAAGTAGTTGACAAAAAAATGCAAGTGCACAACATAATACTTTTCTAACTTCTTAAATTTGGAAATTTTTTATAGAAACAGGATTGATAGCGGCCTTTTGGATTGCACTCTTAGTAAAGCTTTAAACTCAAGGCCTTTGATATTTGTGAAGTTCTAGAGTAAGAAGATTGACTGTAGCATCTTGGAACGCACTAATATTGAAGTAAATCCTTCAATATTTGTGTTGCCTTAAGGCTACAAGTTCTGTAATTTCCCCAAATATGAAGTACTTGGCATTTTCTCTACCTAAATATGAGTGTAATGTTTCAGATCATATAGTCCCAATATTATTAAGCCATCATGTACTTGGAAGTTATCTGTGCCCTTAGAATGCTGCGTTTAGCAAATCTTTGAGCATGCCATTCCTTCAATTATGTACTAAGTATTTGGCAGATCTGAACGTGCAATCATCTGAAAGCTTTACTCCTTTCTTTTATGTTCTCACTATAACATTCAGGGACCTTGAATCTGATTTGTCCAATGTGATCTTACATTTGAAAAAAACATGCTTCATTATAGGGAAAACAAAGTTGATTTAAGCAATAGAACATTGATAACAAATGTCTTTAATCAATCCTCAATAGTAACTTCTTTTTTCTTTCAAGTTGACCAAAAAGGGCTATATCAGTATTGCTTATAATGTGCAAACAGATTTATCCCAGACAATAAGACACTACAACAATTGATGTGCAAAATTATTCCATATGTATTAATGGACTATCTATTATCAGCTTCATGGGAGACACTATCACCTTGATTCAACATATTATTATACGTATAAGCTAACATAAACTCTATGTTTGTACATAAATTTCTAACACTCTCATGCAACATTCAAAATAGACGGGCGCAGCAACGCGCGCCATCGACGATCTAGTATATTCATATACCCCGAAAACATCCAGGAGCACCACGAAAACCCTATTTTCACCGCCGCAACCTTCTATACCTAAGAGATCCCATCTTGGGGCCTTATCCGGAGCTCCGCCGGAGGGGGTATCGATCACGGAGGGCCTTTACATCAACTCCATGGTCCCTCCGATGATGTGTGAGTAGTTTACTTCAGACCTTCGGGTCTATAGCTATTAGCTAGATGACTTCTTCTCTC